CTCCCTTCCACCCACAAAACTCCCAGGCACATCCTACTACTCCTCATATTTCAAATCCCACCTCCCCCCGCCCCCCCTTTCAATCCAGATTTCCGCCTCAACTTCCGCCCCAACCACGCATGCTTCAAGGGCGTACAGCACCTGTGCACGGACGCCTATCATCCAACACTCCTTACCACCCCTCCTCCCCCCACTCGCTCCCTCGCTCTCTTTACCTCTAATCTTTCCCTCCCTTGCTCTCTTTACCCACCTCCCCCTCCTCCCCCCCCTCACCAGATTTCCGCCTCAACTTCCGTCTCAACCATGCGTGCTTCGAGGACGTGCAGCACCTCTGCATGAACGCGTGTGCCCCCCCAGGCACCGAGGGTGCCATGGCTGCAGCAGTGGCAGCAGCAGGGCAGCCGTGTGGCGGGGCGGTGCTCAAGTGCCTGTCGGAGAAAGTGTCTCAGCTGCAGAACGCTGAGTGCCGGGAGGAGGTGTTCTACTTTGAAAGGAGGTACGTTTCAAAAGCTGGTGTGGCCCGTGCTCAGCTCCACTGTCTCAGGCGCGTGTGGCGGGGTGCCTGTCGGAGAAGGTGTCTCAGCTGCAGAACGCGGAGTGCAGGGCGGAGGCTTTCTATTTCGAATGCAGGCATGTGAGATGAGAAAGCTTGTATGGTATGGCTTGTCCAAAGGTGCGTGCGTGCAGTGCTCACGTGCCTCAGGCCAGCCGTGTGGTGGGGCAGTGCTCAAGTGCGTGTGGGAGAAGGTGTCCCAGCGGCAGAACGCGGTGTGCAGGGAGGAGGTGTGCTATTTCGAGGGGAGATATCATAGAGTGGGAGTCCAAAGGGCAGTGGGAGTGTATGGCTTGTCCAAAGGGCTGTGCAGTGCCTAAGTGCGGCACGCCAGCCGGTGGCCGGGCAGCCGTGTGGTGCGGTGGTGCTCAAGTGCGTGTGGGAGAAGGTGTCATGTCAATGCTGCAGAACGCGGAGTGCAGAGAAGAGGTGCTCTGCTTGGAGTGTAAGTGAGCTCTTCTTCTTTTCCGGGCACATGCTTCCTCAGTATGCAGGTAGGTACGTGCTGTGCTGAAGTGTCTCAGGGCCAGTCGATGTGGGGGGGCATTGAGGGAGGGCTCGGGCATGCACTGTGGTGCATCTGCGTAGGCTGCCACCTCCACACTGGAGAACCCTTGTCTCGACGTGCCCCACCCTGCAGCAGGCGTGCCGGACGGCTCGGACATGTAACATGGAGCGGGGGTACCAGGGGGCGGTTCTGCTGCCTCTGATGATGCTCTCTCGTCTTGGTGCCTTTGCTGGACGGTGGGGTGGACCGTGGAGGTTCCTCGTTCCTCTGATACTACTCTCTCACTTTTTGAAAGATCCTGGTTTGGACGTGCCCCTGCAGCAGGCGTGCAAGGAAGACGCTGACATGTACTGCGGGGTGGGGGCTGAGGGGGTCTGCTGCCCCTGTTAACAGTGCTCTCTCTTCCTGTCCTTGTCTCTGTGCAGGACGGTGGAGGACCCTGCGCTCGACGTGCCCCTGCAGCAAGCGTGCAAGGACGATGCTGACATGTACTGTGGGGCGGGTGCGGGGTACGCTAGTCGCGACCACAGCCGCACGCTGTCGTGCCTCAGGCAGAACCGCAAGAAGCTCTCGCAGAAATGCAAGGCGGAGGAGCTGCGGTTCAGCGCCATGGAGGTGGGTATATGGCTGTGGGTGTGGTTCAGTGCGGTTCAGTGCAGTGATGCGCTCATGTGATGCCATATGACTAGTCGCGACCACAGCCACAAGCTGTCGTGCCCCAGGCAGAACCGGAAGAAGCACTCCCCCAAGTGCAAGGCCGAGGAGCTGCACTTCACTGCCATGGAGTGGTGGGTACTCATATGGCCGTGGTTCAGTGTGGTTCATTGCGGTGATATAGTGCTACGCTGGTCGGGGTCACAGCCGCTTGCTGGCGTGCCTGCGGCAGACGAGGAAGAAGCTATTGCTGTCGCCCAGGCGCAAGGCCGAGGAGCTCAGGTTCAGCGCAATGGAGGTGGCTCGGGTGAGTGGAGGACGACTTACACTAAATTATTCACATACACATGCACCAGCCAGCATGTGTTGTCTCCAGTAGTCATCCCTAGCTCTCCCTTCTCGCATATCGCCAGGCGGCTGACATCCGTCTCACCCCCACGTGAATAAATGCCTGCCTGTGGCCATGAGCCGCAGCAGCCCCCTTCACGTTTGGCGCTTCATGCCCCTCTCTCGTTGCATTTGTCCCTCCACCCTCCCAGGGGCTGGCATCCGTCTCATCTCACCCCAGCGCCCATGTCATGAACACCTGTGGTATGGAGCTGCAGGCTGCAGCAGCGCTGTGATACCCACCAATGCATGCGGTCCATCTCGTCCGGCCTTTCCTCTCCCCTTTTTCCCTCTCCTCCAGGCGTCTGACATCCGCCTCACCCCCACCCTCATGAACGCGTGTGGCTTGGAGCTGCACCAGTTCTGCCGCGGTGTGCCTCCCATGGGCGGCCATGCCTTCCGCTGTCTTCAGTGGCACATCCAGGAGGTGAGGGCCGTTAGTTTCTAGTAAGTGCGGCGCATGGAGTTGGGCGCGCGGAGTTGGGCCCATGGAGTTGGGCCCGTAGAGTTGGGCCCGTGGAGTTGGGCCCATGCCATGGAGTTGGGCCCATGGAGTTTGGCCTTGTAGCTTACACCATGCTAATAAGCATGGCACATAACATAGGGCCTTCAATCGACACAGGCCATGCGCCAGTTGCTGTACCACCGCACCGACACAGTGCTGCAGCTGCGGTGCTCCCCTTTCTCTTTCTCCCCTTTCCTCCCCTCTCTCCTTCTCCATTTTCCTCCTCCTCATCCCTCTCCCCTTCTTCCTTCGCATCCCCAACCAACAGTCTGGCATGAGTTTGGCGTGCCGTGCTGAGGTGGACATACAGAGCGCGCCAGTTCCAATACTACGGCACCAACATAGCCTTTCAGCTGCAGAGCTAGCCCAGTCATGTGCTCACTCACCCCACTCTTTGTTCCTCTTCATCCCCTTAACTCCCCTTCAGTCCGGCATGAGCGTCGCATGCCGCGCTGAGGTGGACCTCCAGACCATGCGCCAGTCGCAGTACTACCGCACCGACATTGCCCTGCAGCTGCAGTGCGATGCTGACGTGGCAGAGAAGTGTGCTGAGGTGGATGCGGAGAGTGACACGTCACTGGGTGAGGAGGTGGAGGGAGACTACGGGCCCATCCTGCACTGCCTGCTGCAGTCGTACCAGACGCTCAAGCCCGGCTGCCAGTCAGAGGTGAGCAGAGGCTCAAGGGTTGTCCTGTCCAGGGGTGTCGAAAAGACAGGTGGGTTTCGAGGATGCGCTGCCTTGCAGCTGGAGTGCGAAGCTGACGTGGCAGACAAGTACAAGAGGAGGAGAGTGACACGTCAGTCACTGGGTAAGGAGGTGGAGGGAGATTATGGGCCGAGCTTGCGCTGCCTGCTGCTGTAGCCCGGGTGTCAGTCCGAGGTGAGGAGCGTCGCAGTAGCTTCCATAGGAAGGTGTGGTAGACAAGCGCAGCGAGGCTGACGCAGAGAGCGATGCCTCTCGAGTCGAGGAGGTGGAGGGCGGCTATGGGCCTATTCTGCGCTGCCTGCTGCAGCCATACCAGACCAGACGCTCAAGCCTGGCTCAGTGGTGAGAGAGGAGGAAGAGGTATGGGTGTGTCAAAGGGGTGCCAGACCAGACGCTCAAGCCTGGGTGCAAGACAGAGGTGGGAAGAGACACAAGAGGTAGTGCATCGCTTAGCAGCTCTGGAAGTACCACAGCAATGTGGCCCTCACAGCGCCATGCTATCCTGACATCCGCCTTTCCTGTCCCTCCCACTACCCACTCTCCCTCTACAACCCTCCCACTCCCAGGTGACCTATGTGGTGCGCAATGCTCTGTGGGTGTACCACAGCAACACCGCCCTCACCCAGCTGTGCCACACCAAGATTGACCTTTCATCTTCTTTCCTTCTCCACAGTCACACTTCTCCCACTCCCAGGTGAACTACGCGGTGCACAATTCCCTCTGGATGTGCCACAGCAACGCCGGCCTCACCAAGCCATGCCACAGCGCTATCAGCTGCTCGCTTTCCTCCCTCTCCCAATACTCCCTCTCCACACCAACCCCATCCCCAGGTGACATATGTGGTGCGCAATGCCCTCTGGATGTACCACAGCAATGCCGGCCTCACCAAGCCCTGCCACGCTGACATCGACGCCCTCTGCAACAGCACCCACGTGCCACAGGGCAGCGAGCACAAGGGCCCGGTGATGGGAAGTTTCGGGCAGTGCCTGGTGGACACGCCTCTCACTAAGATCTCTGACAAGCAGTGCCGGCAGCTGGTGGGCGTGGTGGCGGGCAGTGGCGGGCATGTGGGAGGCGTGGTGAATGAGAACCAGCTGGAAGACACGCTTACCAAGATCGCAGAGGTGGGTTATGACTGGATCTGTTTCAAGGTGCTCATTTTCTCGACTACTTTCCTCATAAAACCCCACCCTCCTCTCCCCCCCTTCCCTACTGCCCTCATATCCCCCCACCCTCCCTTCCCTCTTCCAACATAATTCGAGTGTTTGTCGTCTTTCTCTCTCCCTGTCATTTTCCCACCCTCCAGATCCAGCTGGTGGCTCAGGCTGAGGCGGAGGAGCAGCAGGAAGGCTCTACGCTGGTGCTGACTGGCTGGATGGCCTTCATAGCCATCACAGCCCTCGCTGCACTGCTGCTTGGTGGTGGCTTCTTTGTCTACCGCCGCTACTTTGACCCACGCCGCAACTACACTGTTGTAGTTAAGGCCGGCGATGTGTGATTGGAATGTGCTGCTCTTGCATGACACACAGTGGGTATTGTTAGGGGATCAATCATGCTTACCAGATGTCAGCAAGCACTCCAACTTAATCTGGGTGGAATTATTTTTGCTGCATGGAGCACAACTGGTTGCACAGTGCACACCCTGCACATGATGTTCCTGTGAAGCCTGATTTGGTGCATTAAGAATATAATGATCATGCTATAGCCAGCAACACTAATCTGTACACGATTTTGAAGTCATCTCAACTCCCAACCAAGCACATCACGCAAGTCATCCCCCTTGCTGACTGTTGGCACTTGCACGCCGACTGAGGTGACCTCCCTCCACGGGCAACGAAAGAGCAGTGGCCAATGGAACTGTCACACTACCGGTATCATCAGTAGTCGGAAACAATTCATCCACAGGAAAGAGCTCATTCTCCATAGCCCTCCTTTCTGTGCCTGCAGCCACAAGATGAATCATGTCAGAAATATCACAAACCAGCAAACACAGGGAGTGACACACTCAATATCACACACAACAATCTCTCATGCCAAGTCCAGACATTGCACGTTTTATATCCATGCACAAGGATGCGAAGTTTTGGGGTTAAGGTTCATTTGAGAATCACAACAAGTGAGCATCAAATAAACAAGTTCACAGCTCACCATCAGCTGAAGAAGTGGATGGGCGGTGTGCTTGAGGAGGCGTACTGTTTTGATCGAGCTCCGCAAGCCGCAGATGTGAGCGAGATGGTGTTGCAAATATTGGGGTCAAAAAGTTCTTGTCGAGAGAAGCGAAACTAGCCCTGCGATGCAACCAGAAGTGATTAGTAACCAGCACCTTGACATTTCTTGACACGACAAGTTCCAGCCTTACTTATCCTTCAGCTGCTGAAATTTCTTCTTCAAATTGCTCTGGGGTTTGTCAGGTGTTTGAGTTAACATGATTTCCCCGCCATCTTGTGGATCCTGCCGAGTTTAGAACAGTATCAGAATCGACCAGAAATGGCAAGCCATACAACTGCGCAAAGAAGGAAAGATCTTACCTGATCGTTATGCTCTATTGGCCCGCTGCATTCAATCTTCAGCCATGAAAGCATGTGGGATGTCGCGCCACCAATAAACAATACCTGTGCATCAGATGCCAGTGTAATAGATCATTGAAGTAGGCCTGACAGGACTCAAACATCCAGAATCTTTGTACCCACTGGATTGCAACCGTGAAATCTCAAGCATACACTCACAGTGAATGCAATTGTCAGCAACGTTGAAGTCAAGATTACACGACCATAGTCCTCAGGAAGATCTGTAATAGACTGTAAAGCGAGTGCAAAGGCCATGGCTCCACGAAGCCCTGGAGGAAGTTGAACATGTGTCAGCTTCATGTCGCAAAGATGGTCGTGATAACCCTTTTACAGCTATGTCAAGTACGACATACCGCTGAACCACAAGGCATGCTGATGATTCATGGGTATTCTGTTCTGTTTCTGACGAAAGGCATTGACGATGTATGCAAGAGGATAAATGTTGAAAACCCTGCAGGAGAATGTCACAATTAGCAAACACTAATATAGGTGAAGGCATTAAAGTTAAAAAGTGCCAAGGGTACCTTGCAATAAATATAGCAAGCTGCAACACACGGCATGTCTTGTCAGGTCAGAGAAAAGAGTGAAGCAACAAAAAACATATGAAATCACTACCACTTACAATAGCATATAGTGTAAAGCTGTAGCTTCTCCAGCTTTGTTTTTCCAAGAATACAGCAACTCCCATGTATATGAAACTGCAAAGAGAAAGTTAATCAGCAAGAGCTTGCTGACATAAACAAAACAGCACAAAATGGAAACGCCTTACACAAAGGTTTCAGATAACTTTGCGAGGATGGAGAAGAAGCTGCTTGTTGTGGCCAGTGCTTTCTCATTAAGATGAGGAGCCGTGTAGTATCTCATTGTCTGGAACGTTTAATCCAGTCAGTGAGCCTTCTAGGAGAAATAAGGTTGCAAACGCACAAACTTACCATTCCCGCAAAGAGGATGGACACAATTCCAGACAGTTCGAAAGCATCAGCAAGCATGTATGCCATGTAGGGGAACAGGGAAAGCAGGCAGGATTGAAGCAGAGCGAGACTGCACAAAGCAGCAGCAGGTCAGCACGCAGCCCAATGGGGAATTTGAGACAGAAAAGTTGTGTGCTAGTCTTACCCGTCATCTTCGAAACCACAATGCTTGAAGACAAGGGCACTCAACAACCCCAAGATGACTCCTGCAAAACAACCAACACTCTTTAGCACCTGATTGCAGACACTAAGTCAACAACAAGAGGTAGCTGAAAGTAGACTTACCGATTGAGAATGAGCCAATGAAATTAGCAAGGAAAAATGAGATCGCAAACCATATTCCCCTGCCGTCAACCTTGGTCGTCACAAATGACAACAAGGTCCTGTAAAGTACTATTGCAACCTGAAAAAAGGAACAGATTCTGGGATTAGCTTCTGATTTCCAGGTTCAAGGATTCCACTTCGGGTGCAGCTTACCGCATCATTCAGTACGGATTCTCCAAAAACTTGGGCGTAAAGTGTGCGGTCTACACCCAATTCCTGCAAAGGCACAACAACGCTCATGAAATTGGATACAGCAAAATGAGGATTTCAGGTATCAACTTGAAAAGTCATACCTGGAAAACGGCAAGCACTGATACAGGATCAGTTGCTGATATCAAAGCGCCAAATGTAAGGCACACCATGATAGGCATAGCGTGAGCAGCATGTAGCAGTCCAACAAAATACCTGCCAAGGAACATTGCCAACAGCCCCGTGATCAGACGAATGATATTCGTTAGAGATGCACAAATAGCGAACACAGATGCTGACTGAGCAATCCACGTGCTTACATGAAGCAGCCCACAACCAATGTTGATATGAGCGTGCCAGCAAAGGCGAAGGTACAAATCGCTCCAAAGTTGCCAAAGAATGTTTTCTGGAATCAGTCATTGCATGTTAGTGACTGGCGGCCAGTGTGAATGAACTAACTAACCACAAAAACATACCGCTTTCAAGCTCCATCCCGACTCAGTGGAAAGGAAAAAAAGACGGTTAAGGAAAACTGGTTTTATGCAATCACAATTCAGAAAATGGTGGACATATGAAGCGATGGAAGAAAAAGTGGAGCCTAAGAAAGGACGGGAAGAACATGCGTGCGTAAGTTGACGGAGCAGGCCGAAGAAAGGAGGAGGATAAGTGGGGAGGGAGATGGAAAACGAACAAATCTAGGGGCTACAGACGAAGAAGAGAGGAGGGGACGTGAAAGGATATAATATAATCGGCGGCAGCAGGAAATAGAAGAAGAAGTTGTTGTTGAAGTTTATCCATTCTCTGCAAAGACAGAAGTTGTCAGAGTATGCACGGCTTGAATCGAACGAACGCAATGAGTGCTGACTCACCTGAATTCCGACCCATGTCGAAGGAATTTCACAACCAATCCCACTATTACTCCTGTGGAATTTGACAAATTTCAAGTAACGCATTCAACGACCGACAGCTCAATCCACGGTAATAGGCATACCAAAAGCTAATGCCGCGCCCGCTTCGGGAATTATAACAATCTTCTTTCTTCTGAGACCGTGACCCACCAAAAGGGCGATCGCTAGCATAACCAGCTGGACCAGCAACGAGACGCTAGCTACGTAAGATGCGCCTTTTGGAGCCATCGGAACGGGGATTTGACCGCATGGAACCAATCCCGTCGTGAAAATGCTAACGTCCGTGTCGTTTGCACTCGGAGTTACGCTGGCACCCGTATCATTTCCTATGGTCAAGTTGAAACCAGATGTATCCATGGCGACGGCTATCAGGAATGTACACCCTACAATGGAACTATGATAGTCAACTTTAGGAAGACAGAAGATGTGTTCCTGCTTTAGTAAGTACAACAACAGAAACAACAATCAAGTCACCGGCAAGAAGCTACCGTTTCGAAGGCGGAAAGGGCTTGAAGGATGTGTGGTCAAGGATGTCAGATGAAGCACCAGCATCAGTAACAAAATGCGTGGGATTTCGGTTCGTCACGAGGTAGTTACTTTCGCAAATTTATCGCAATTTGTTTCTCGCCTGCACGAGATCTTGGCAAGCAGCAAATACCTCCGCACCCTAGACTGTGCGTGCTCGCGATGAATCCTGGCGTACATCTGTTGGTGATTGAGCTTGATCCCACGGCTCCTCCGCATCGCTTTTCCCACCTTGGGCATTGTCCAACCGGCCTGTCAGTCGTACCGCGACCACTATGTATTCGTCGACAAATCTGTGCCTTTCTCTGTACTAGTTGACCAAGGTCGTGCAGGCGGCGTCAGCTCGTTTGTCTCCAGCTGTAGGTAGCATGCCCCGGATCTGACCGAGTTCGACCGAGTCAGATCGGATAAGTAACCATCCTCAGCTCAATGGCGTCGTTTGGCAAAGATAAAACGGAGATTCTTACTGACGCACATGTTGATCAGCTAGAGAAGGAACTGCGAGATTTCAAGTCAGACGTTTCCACATGGGCTGAGAAACAGATCGCGGCGCACCAAGAGGGCGTGCGACGGGATTCGGCGAGAGTGCGTACGACACAAGGTGAACCGTTAGTGCTTAGATTCCCATAGCTCCAAGCCTAGATCGCCCTTTCTGAACAGTCACGCTAAGTGCTGTGGATGTATATTCTGGCTAGCATGAGAATTGTACTGAGGCGTCGTGCTTTTTCCTCGCTGTGCTGTTGTTGTGAGCTGATTGCAGATAAGCTGAACGAGCTGAGGCAACTGGAGCAGGAGTTTCTAGCCGAAGAGCAGATGCTCTTGAAGCGTACGCAAATAAAGCCCGTAGATTTGCCTCCTTCCGCATTTCCAAACACGTCGGGAGCGTTTCGTCCCATGGCGAGGACATGTTGCGAGATGCGAAATGTCGTTCCCTGCTGCTCACTCTCCCTACCCTCTCCAATTTGTGCATCTCTTTGCTTCTCCTCTCCACGCCGTTTCTCATCCCTCCACCCTCCTGCCATGGTCACGCTCTCCATCTCGTGTTCCTTTCCGCCCTCTCCGTTCACCCCAGAGCAATCTCAGCAGAATGATGATTTAGACCGCCAGTGTGAGGGCATGGCAAGGCTAGGCCTGGAGAAGGCATCGTTGGAACCCCAGCTGCAGCAGGCGGAGGAATTCGTTGCGGAATTGGAGGCGGACGTGCAGGCAGAGGATGACGGTGAGCGGAGTGCGGGAAAGTGGGTAGTAGTATGGCTGTGGTTGTATGGCTCAGGCGGTTAGTACGGCAGCATATGACCGCCCGTTTCTTATACACCTTGATTCGTCTCTCTATTTTTTGTGTGCAGCACTCAAGAACGAGGAGGAGATTCGCCAGCAGCGCATTGACGCCCTGCTGTCAGCTGTGACCAAGTTCAGGGAAGCCTTTGGCCTCCGCTTTGACCCCACTCCTGGTGTGTTCTCCGTACGTCTTCGTTTCTGCTTTGTGATTAGCATCCTGCAGATCCCTTTTTTGCAAACTCCCCCCCCCCCAATCCCCTATCTCCTTTTCTCTCCCCCCTCCTCTTGTTTTTCTCTCGCTCTCATGCGCACACACACTTACACGCATGCACCCACTTACTCACGCTTAGTCATTCACTTCCTTTCTGCTTTCCATTATTTCCCTTGCCTTCAGAGGGTTTGCTCCGGATGACCTTCACAAAGATTGATCCCCTGATGCCCGACAGGCAGTTCATTGCCTTGTTGGATATGGGGGGTGACAGGGACAAAGGCATTCAAGGTATGTGGATCAGTGATGGAGGGTGCCTGTACTGCATAATATCTGCTGTTCACATCAAAAGTGCCTGCATCTTCCCCCCCCCCCTCCCCCAACCCCCCTTCCCACCAATGATCAATTCTTCCATCCGTTGAACTTCTCCATCCCGGCTTTTCGTCTGCTTTTTACCAATGCAACAAGTGCAGTGGTGAGCAGTGACCCTTCAATACCGGGCTTGGCAGAGGCAGTACAGGCAGCCGTAAGTGAAGGCGACTTGAAAGGGCTGTTTAAAGGGATCTACATGGAATTCAGGAATGCTGTTGCGGAGGGCAAGCTGTAAGGCCCAGATGATGCAACATGCCAAGTGCCTTGCCTGCTACCATAGCACAGGCCTCTGTGTGTCTCAGCATAGCCGTAAGAGCAAGGAGCACAGAGCACCTAGTGGTAGTTGAAGAGTTTGTGATGTCCTGTAAATAGATGGACTGCCCAACCAACCAATACTGCTCGACAGCATCTAGCGTGTGAGCTGATGAACCCTAGTGTAACAGGTCTAACTACGGTGCATGTTTGAACGTCGCTGCACTTTGTATGTTTTCAGCACTTCCTGATTCCCAAGATTGTTGAGGACCTTGATCACTTGATACCGTATGTGCTTGGACTTCAGACACAAAATGTGTTTTCCCCACATCCACGGCAGTGGTATGCTTTCAATAATGGTACGCGGGCACTGCAGTGAATTTCAGGCACTGCAGTGAGTTTCATAGCAACAACCAGTGACAAGTTTCAACATCACACCATGCTAGCACCATCCTCTAGACCAGAGCCGTCCCTACGGGAGCGCACCGGACCAGAGCCATCCCTATGGGAGCTCACCGGACCAGAGCCATCCCTTGGGGAGCGCACCAGACCACAGCCATCCCTTCCGGAGCACAGCCGACCAGAGCCATCCCATTGGGAGCGCACCAGACCACAGCCATCCCTTAGGGAGCGCACCAGACCAGAGCCATCCCGTCGGGAGCGCACCAGACCAGAGCCATCCCTTGGGGAGCGCACCAGGCCAGAGCCATCCCTTCGGGAGCGCAGCTGACCAGAGCCATCCCTTGGGGAGCGCACAAGACCAGATCCATCCCTTCGGGAGCGCACCAGACCAGAGCCATCCCTTTGTGAACGCACCGGACCAGAGCCATCCCTTTGGGAGCGCACCGGACCAAAGCCATCCCTTTGGGAGCACACCAGACTAGAGCCATCCGTTTGGGAGCGCACGAGACCAGAGCCATCCGTTTGGGAGCGCACCAGACCAGAGCCATCCCTTCAGGAGCGCACTAGACCAGAGCCATCCGTTTGGGAGCGCACCGGACCAGAGCCATCCCTTGGGGAGCGCACCGGACCAGAGCCATCCCTTTGGGAGCGCACCGGACCAGAGCCATCCCTTCAGGAGCGCACCATTCCAGAGCCATCCCTTCAGGAGCGCACCAGACCAGAGCCATCCCTTCGGGAGCGCACTAGGCTTGATGCCATTCCTTCAGGAGAGCAATCAAACCTCAGCAGCATAGTAGCAGTTCACCAATCTTCTAACCCCCACCAGTTTCTCAACCCACTCTCCCAACACCCTGACGAGCAGGGTGCAAAAAAGGGTCCCACCATCATCCCACCTCCCCAACCCCCCAGCAACTTCTCGACTGCTGCTTTCTGCCTGCAGCTCTCATTCTGTGCTCTCCATCCCTTGATCCCGCTGATGCCTTCCTTGCTCTACTGGTCCTCATTACTCGAGTCGAGACATGGTATATCAGCAGCCTTGAGCTTGCAGCCAGCCACAGCACCTCTTGTGGCCGCCATGGCCGCCTAGAACTTCATGCCAGCAGCACCTTGAAAGACGATCCACTCCGCAGCTTCTTCGCAGCTTCATAGACTTTGTCTGATTTGGCGTCGTTTTCACTGAAGACGCCGGGTCTGACGCCGCCGGACCTGACGCCGCTGAACCAGGTGCCGTCAAATGTCGGGTCGCTTGTTTCGCCGTCGCCGCTGGAGCCTCTAGTAGCGTTGGCAGCGATGCTGTCACGGTAGCGTCAGAAGGACAGGCGTCGCTGCGGCTGGCGTCGTCGATGCTCTCGATGCCTTCGATGCTGTTAACGCTGGATTTGGCGCGGAAGAACATCGAGACGCTCAACTCGCTGCAGCAGGACGCGAGGCTGCCAGCCGGACAGATACTCAGCAACTACGACGGGAAGAGCTCCGCAGCAGCAGCAGAGCTTCCGTTTGTTTCTCGCAACTACGACTTCCCAAAAGCTAAGTGCATCGAGAAACGACGGGTACTCGGATACTGAGGCCATGGCGGTGATACTTCAGGAGGAGACTGGAAGTGAGACTATCTGAAAGCTAGAAACGAGAGTGCGGAAGCAATCTAGGACAAGAGAAAATGACTCCAGGGGTTGCAGATTTGTAGGCAGAGTTGGCTGGGTGTCTGGCTGGAGGGATTCAAAACGGGGGATGTGGTTTGGGCGTGGGAGGGAGGGAAGGCCGCTTGCTTGGGCGCGGGAGGGAGGGAAGGCTGCTTGCTTGGGCGTGGGAGGGAGGGAAGGCTGCTTGCTTGGGCGTGGGACTTGGAGGTAGTCGCGAAGTTTTGTCAAGTCTCTGCCTGACGTTGTAAATTCTGCCCACGCGAAATTCGCATGGCTGTCGTCGTCAGCTCCGCTGCTCGTGATGAGGCGGCGATTCAAGCATGCATGTGGGCATTTCGCGCGACTGCCTTTTCCCATTGGCTACGACTTCTGACCGAAAATGACATGTTTTTGAATTCTCGTCGCCGCGCGTCGATACCTTCTGGAAGCGGCGAAAACCTAGGGTCAACGAGCGACAAGATCGGGGTAGCGAGTCAACAGCAATACACTAATTGAGTACAACTGCTACTAGGCCTCCTTACACAAAATAAACATACGTACCCAACATAACATTCTTAAAACCACAGGCTAACATAGCAAAGGGGGGGCTTCAAGAGCGCCGTTCTTGAAGATGGCTCTTTTGAAAAAAAACGGGTTCCCAGCACTATTTTGCGAGGTGCGGTTTTGGGCAGCTGAACAATGGTAAAAACGTAGTGGTGCCGATTTGACGCGTGTGCGACGAGGCGGGAAACGCGTGCGCGACTCATTTGACCTTTAGCCAACTTGGTGAAAAAAAAAAAAAAAAAAAAAAAAAAAAAAAAAAAAAAAAAAAAAAAAAAAAAAAAAAAAAAAAAAAACTACTTTGCTCGGAAGTATTCGGCGTACGTCTTAAGGCTTCATATTACGAAGCTCCCTCGACCGCGACTCGCGACTAGGGGGGAGGTGAACTGTGCAACTTGTGTGCCGAACAGCCACATGGGTTGTGCGAAATGCGACCCCGGTAAACCTTGGGTTAAAATGTCAAACATGTTTAGTTATCATGCTTGTATAGACTGTATAGGGTCATCTTCTAGAGAGTACAACAGTTAGGTATATGTTTGTGTACTCTCTCTCTCTATTCATCAATTTCACTGTTTGTTATGGTATCACGCGTAGGTAGGATCCCCCCCCCCCCCCCTCACGCTTCCGCTCGCCCCCTAGCTGGGCCCCGTCGTGCTCCTAGCCCCGTCGCGACCCTCCCTAGCCCCGTCGCGACCCTCCCTAGCCCCGTCGCGCCCCTTCCTGGGCCCCGTTGCGCCCCTTTCTGGGCCCCGTCGCGCTCCTCCCAGGCCTCGTAGCGCCCCTCCTGGGCCCCATTGCGCTCCTCCCAGGCCCCGTCGCGCCCCTTCCAGGGCTTCGTAGCGCCCCTCCAGGCCCCGTCGCGCCCCTTTCAGGGCTTCGTAGCGCCCCTCCAGGCCCCGTCGCGCCCCTTCCAGGGCCTGGTAGCGCCCCTCCAGGGCCCCGTCGCGCTCCTCCCAGGCCCCGTAGCGCCCCTCCTGGGCCCCATTGCGCTCCTCCCAGGCCCCGTCGCGCCCCTCCCTAGCCCAGTCGCGCTCCTCCCAGGCCCCGTAGCGCCCCTCCTGGGCCCCATTGCGCTCCCCCCAGGCCCCGTCGCGCCCCTACCTGGGCTTGGTAACGCCCCTCCAGGCCCCGTCGCGCCCCTACCCATCCCCGTCGCCCCTGCTCGGCCCCGTCGCCCCTGCTCGGCCCCGTCGCCCCTGCTCGGCCCCGTCGCCCCTGCTCGGCCCCGTCGCCCCTGCTCGGCCCCGTCGCGGCCTATCGGCCGCGTGGCGCCCCCCCGGCCCCTGTCGCGGCTGCCCGGCCCCTGTCGCACCTGCCCGGCCCCTGCTCGCCCGCCCGGCCCTGTCGCCCCTGCCCGGCCCTGCTGTGGCCTGCCCGGGCCCCGTCCCTGCCGCCCGGCCCCGTCGCCGCCGCCCGGCCCTGTCGCAGCCGCCCGGCCACGTCGCAGCCGCCCGGCCACGTCGCAGCCGCCCGGCCACGTCGCAGCCGCCCGGCCTTGTCGCTGCCGCCCGGCCCCGTCGCCGCCGCCCGGCCCCGTCGCAGCCGCCCGGCCCCGTCGCCGCCGCCCGGCCTTGTCGTGCCTGCCCGGCCCCGACGCACCTGCCCCGGCCCTCCATACTTCCTGGTACTGTCCCCCGTTCCCCGCACCACTTTGCACCCTCCTGCACTTTCCTGCCCCGCCTTGCATCGCATTGCACCTCACTGGATCGCACTGACCGCCCTGCACCGCACTGGACCGCACTGCACCGCACTACATCGCACTGCACCGCACTGGACCGCACTGCACCGCACTGCACTGTCCTCCACTGCCCCTCATGGCTGCTGAGCTTCGTTTTGATGTTGAGGGTCAGCCTCTGGAGTTCGAGGCGTGGTTGGCTGACCTTCGCCGCCACCTCACTGGCCAGCGGCAGGACGGCCACCCGCTTTCTGCACACCTAGACGGTATGCTCCCCTGCCCTGACCCCCCTGCTGTGCTGCCCGCTGATCCCACGCCCGCTGAGCGCGAGTCCACTGCCGCTGCTGCCCTTGCCCGCTCTGTCTGGCTTTCCCGCGATGCCCTTGCTCAGCTCGCCATTAGCAATGCCCTCCCCCCCACTGAGCGCCCTCGCTTTAGAACCGTTCCTACCGCCCAGGCCTACCTCGATGCTGTCATCAAGCGCTATTCTACCCCTCCTGCTGCCTCAGTGGGTCGCCTGATCCTTCCCCTGCTCTTTCCTGACCTGGCGTCTTTCCCCACTGTCTCTGACCTCGCTGCCCACCTGCGCTCGATAGATGAGGCCTGGCGCGCTGCCTGCACTGATGCTCAGCTTAGAGTCCACCAGCCTCCCATGACCTCTACCCTCTACCTCCTTGCCACCCGCCTACCTGACCGCCTTGCCGCCGCCCGCGACCAGTTCCTTAGCATCCACCCTGCTGCTCTCACCCTCACCGACTTTGTTGACACCCTGACTGCCATAGAGACTCGTCACCGCTCCATAGCCCTGGCGAGCGGTACAGTACCGGTCCCTATCTTTCAAGGTTGTGCCCCCGCTCAGTGTACCTTCTCCGACGGCTCTGTCGCTGTGGCTGAGACTGCTGCTGCAGTGCAGTCCCGCTCGGCGAAGGGCCGCCGCCCCAAGGTTGGGAGCGGCGGAGGCGGCGGGGGTGCGGGTGGGGGTAGTGGTGGAGGCGGGTCGTCCGGTGCCGGTGCGGACGTGGGGACCCTGCCCGGTCCAGCTGCCCCGCTGCCTCCACAGTTGCAGCAGCCGCAGCAGCAGCAGTCGCCGCAGCCGCAGCCTTCGCAGCAGCCGCAGCAGCCGCCGCAGACGAGGCAGGCGAGTACTCTCCCACCTGGGTGGCCTGGAGCTGGTGGTGGTCGTGCGCGTGGTGGTGCACCGGGTGGTGGTTCTGGAGGCGGGCCCTGTCAGTACCAGATCCAGACCGGTCCTCGCCGCGGCTTCGTTTGCGGTAAGATCGGTCATTCTACTCCTCGCTGTTTTCGTCGCCTGGACGACCTGTTCCGCCAGCGCTTTGGCCCGGCGCCCGACCTCCCGGACTGGCACAGCTTGCTTAGGCGTAGCATTAGGATTTTTGACTTGGACATGGATGCCATTGTAGCGGCCTTGCATGTGATGTATGCTGATGACTCTAGTGTGCTTCCCTCTTATTACCCCGTGTTGCCTAGTGTAGCGGTGCCTAGCGTCTACTCCCCTGCTGCGTCAGGCGTAGGATCTCCTGCTTTGCTTAGCCTTGGTGCTTCCACCGCTTCACTGCTGCCTCGCGCGACTGCTGCGCTTTCCTTCACCTTGGACTCTGGCGCCTCCCGGTGTTTCTTCCGCGACTCCACGACGCTGACGCCGCTGCCTGTTCCCGCTGCAGTTACTCTTGCTGACCCCTCCGGTGGTCCCGTCGTTGCCCGCAGTTCCACCTCCCTTCCCTGTCCGGCGGTTCCTTCGGGCACTCTCACAGGTCTGCATATCCCCTCGTTCTCCAGGAACCTAGTTGGTGTCGGCTGCCTCCAGGACCTTGGCGTCACCACTACGTTCCCTGGTCACGAGCGGTATGCTGTCTGTACCGAGGCCGCCACTGGTGCCCCCCTTACCACTTTCCCCCGGGACCCGGTGTCCGGCCTGTTCACACTTGACACCGCGCCGTCCTTGGCTGGGTCTTCCCCCCCGGTAGTTGCGTCCACCCAGGTTGCAGCCGCGTGCTCCTGTCGGTCCCTCACTCACCCGACTCTCCTTTGGCACCACCGCCTTGGTCACCCTGCACTCCCACGTCTGCGTCACATGTCCCAGCACGGTCTCGTCCTTGGTCTCCCCGGTTCGTTCCCCGAGTTTCCCTCCTCCCCCGCCCCACCGTGCACGCCTTGTGTCGAGGGCCGGCTCCGCCGTGCCCCTCACTCCTCCTCTTTTCCCCCTACCACCGCACCACTGCAGACTCTGCACATGGACGTCTGGGGCCCAGCCCCAGTCCATGGGCCGCGTCGCAAGCGCTTCTTCCTAGTGCTTGTCGACGACTTCACGCGCTACACCACCGTCTTCCCCCTGGAGCGGAAGGCCGACGTGCCTGACGTTCTCATCCCCTGGCTTGTCTCTGCTCGTGTCCACCGCGATCTCCCTGCCTTGCGCCTTCACTCCGACCGGGGTGGCGAGTTTGCCTCAGGTGTCCTTGGTCGCTTCTGTCGTGCAGAGGGCATCACCCAGACGTTTACCCTGCCGGACTCCCCGCAGCAGAATGGGGTCGCTGAGCGACGCATCGGTTTGGTCATGGAGGTGGCTCGCACCTCCATGATCCACGCCGGTGCACCCCATTTTCTGTGGCCGTTCGCCGTGCGCAACGCCGCTCACCAGCTTAACCTGTGGCCGCACCCCCAGCGGCCGCAAGTTTCGCCGACCCTTCTGTGGACCGGGTCCCCTGGTGACGCGTCTGCGTTCCGCGTCTGGGGCTGCCTTGCTCACGTTCGTGCCTCTGGCACGGACAAGCTCACTGCCCGCACCCTCCCCTGCGTCTTCCTCGGTTTCCCCCTTGACGCGTCCGACTGGCACTTCTACCACCCGCCGTCTCACCGCTTCTTTCACTCTCGCGACGTCACCTTTGACGAGTCCGTCTCCTTCTACCGCCGCTTTCCCCACCGTGGTCCCCCGGTTACTCCCCCCCTTTTCCTGGTTCCTCCCTCCCTGGTGGTCCCTGCCCCTCCCCCCCCCCGCCCCCCCGTCCGGCCCCCTCTGGTGTGTCTCACGTCACCCCCCTCCCGTCGGTCGTCCCGGTCGACGAGTCTTCTGACTCTGGTAGTCCTCCGGCGCAGTCCTTGCCGTCTGTCCCTCCCCCGGTGTCTCCTCCTCCACCGCCTCCGCAGCCGCCGTCGCCGCAGCTGCTGCAGCCGTCGTCTCCACCGCCGCCGCCGTTGCAGCCGTCGTCTCCGCCGCCGCCGCCGTCGCAGCCGTCGCTGCAGCCGCCGCCGCCGCCGCCGCTGTCGTCGCTGCCGCCGTTTGTGGACTCTGGGGGTGTCCCTTCTGGGGGTGCAGGTGTGGAGGGTTCGGGAGGTAGCCGTCGCGCAGCTTGTGGCCCTGGTGTTGGTGTTGTGTCGCCGCAGCAGCAGTCCCCGCCTGTGTCCGCCCTCCGTCTGCTCGGCCTTCCGTCTCCTGACCCTGCGCCTGTTCCTCTCCTGCCGTCTCCCCCTCTTCCCGTCTACGGCCCCGTGTTCCCTCTGCCAGACTCGTCCCCGGCTCGTCTTCCCCCTCGTTCCCCTCCTGTGTCCCCTCCTCTGTCTCCTGACCCGACGCCGCCCTCACACGTCTGGTCTCGCCGCCCCTCTCGTGCTCGTCCTGTCTCCCCTGTCCCGCGCTCTCACCCTATGTTGCTCCGTTCCCACGCGTCTCGACCTCCCCTCCTCCCGTCTCCTCCTCCGTCTTCTCTTGTCGTTGCGTCTCCTCCTCTGTCCGACTCCTTTCGTGCCGCTCGTCCTCTTGTTCCTCGGGTCCTTGCCTCTCTCGTTACCGACCCGTCTGTTCCCGTGTCGAGTCTTGACGCCCTCGTCGCTGCGGTCGCTGACTTCGCCTCTACCCGCCGCCTTGACTACGCCACCGCTCTGGTCTCTCACCCTGCCTGTCCTCCGTCTGTCGGGGGTGCTCCTGCCCTCGGCAGTGACGTCCTGGAGGACCGCCAGTTTGAGCTTGCTTTCCTGTCCGAGGCTGCTCCCCATCTCTGTTCCATGCTGCTAGTCCCTGAGGGTGACCCAAACGCTTTCGACATCCCGACCCCTCGTACTTACGCTGAGGCAGTTTCGGGACCCTGGGCCTCTCAGTGGATAGCTGCCATGGAGCAGGAGATGGCATCTTGGAGATCCACCGGCACCTTCGTCGACGCAGTTCCCCCACCTGGGGTGAACGTGGTCGATGGCCGTTGGCTCTTCAAGGTGAAGCGCCCTCCTGGAGAGCCGCCTGTGTTCAAGGCGCGCTACGTGGCTAGAGGCTTCAGTCAGCGCGAGGGGGTGGACTTCTTTCAGACTTTCGCTCCTACCCCGAAGATGACTACTCTTCGGGTGCTGCTACACGTAGCGGCTCAGCGTGACTACGAGCTTCACTCCCTCGACTTCTCCACTGCCTTTCTTCAGGGCAGCCTTCACGAGCAGGTCTACCTGCGTCGCCCTCAGGGCTTTACTGGCACCTTCCCCCCTGGGACCCAGTGGCTTCTGCGGCGGCCAGTCTACGGCCTGCGCCAGGCGCCTCGTGAGTGGCACGACACTTTGCGTGCTACCCTTGCTGACCTGCAGTTCTTTCCGTCCTCTGCAGACCCCTCGCTCTTCGTTCGTGCTGGCTCGACTCCGTTCTACATCCTCGTCTACGTAGACGACCTGGTCTTTGCCACTGCTGACAGGGACGCACTGGCCTCCGTGAAGGCAGAGCTGCTGAAGAGACACACCTGCACTGACCTTGGAGAGCTGCGCCGTTACCTTGGCTTGCAGATCTCCAGGGACAGAGCCGCGCGCACCATCACCCTGACTCAGTCACACTTGGTGCGCCAGGTCCTTCAGAGGTTCGGCCTTCAGTTCTCCTCCGCACAGCCCACCCCTCTTCCTCTGGACCACAGACTCTCCGCTCCAGTTCCTGAGGAGTCGGTAGATCCCAGTGGTCCTTACGCTGAGCTAGTGGGTTGCCTCATGTACCTGATGACTTGCACTCGCCCAGATCTCGCATACCCTCTCAGCATCCTGGCTCGTTTCGTGGCCACAGGCAGGCACCGACCTCAGCACTGGTCTGCCGCTAAGAGGGTTTTGCGTTATCTTGCAAGTACATCGGGCATGGGGTTAGTGCTAGGCGGACGCAGGCCAGTGGTCCTTACTGGACACACAGACGCTTCTTGGGCAGACGACGCCGAGACGCTCAGGTCTTCCCAGGGCTACTGCTTTAGCCTTGGTTCAGGTGCTGTCTCGTGGAGAGCTACCCGCTCTTCGTCTGTTGCCCAGTCCAGCTGTGAGGCCGAGATCTACGCCGGTGCCATGGCGGCACAGGAGCTCCGCTGGCTGACCTTCTTGCTCACTGACTTAGGTGAGCGGCCTAGCTCTGCCCCGGTCCTGTACGCTGACAACAGGGCCATGATCCTCCTGTGTCAGGAGCCTCGACTCGAGGGCAGAGCGAAGCACATCCAGCTGCGGTACTTCCTCCTGCGTGAGCTACAGCAGCGTCGCCAGGCTCGCGTAGTACACTTAGCCTCCGGTGCCAACACAGCTGATATCTTTACGAAGGCGCTTGCGCCTAAAGATCATCAGCGGCACTGTGTGCAGCTTGGTCTGGTTCCTGTAGTCTCTCACTTACTCGGGCCTTGACTTTGTACTGTCCTATATATCTGTGTGTACACTCAGACTGGACTTGTGTCCTCTTACAGTGGTTGGACTAGTAGTGCCGCCCTGTACTAGTTCTTGCCTTGCCTGTACTCCTTCTGACTGGTCTTTTAGACCCTTGTCTCAGAGGCTGGACTAGTAGTGCCACCCTGAGCTGCTTGTCTAGAACATTCCCCTATGCAGTCCAGGGGGTGTGTCAAACATGTTTAGTTATCATGCTTGTATAGACTGTATAGGGTCATCTTCTAGAGAGTACAACAGTTAGGTATATGTTTGTGTACTCTCTCTCTCTATTCATCAATTTCACTGTTTGTTATAAAAACCTATTGCACACCGATGGAGCTCTTGAAAAAACTGAGCCGTGTGAGCGGTCAGTTGCAACTTGATCCGCCGAGCAACTGGCGCCAAATCAATCGTCGCGCACCAATAACGTAGCAAAGGTACTTCGCATTACAAACAATTTCGGGTCCCATACCATTTCAGAATTAGAAAACGCACCAAAGGGTCTGCCCCAAAACGAAGCATTTTTTCAAGAGCTCCGCTGGTGTGCTATTCTAGCCTGTGGTTTTAATTTTTATGACCTCTCCAGAATGGGAATTATACTACTCAGGAAAAAGATGAAATTTAGATACAATAAAGATTTATGCAAAGAAGTTGCGTGGGTGAATTGACTTGCAAGGTGAGCATCTTGCATTCCATTCCATGCCCTTTGTCAAGGACTCGGAATGTTTTTGTTGTTGCCCCTTGCCCGTGTTGTGATAATTGAAGTTTTGCATTTCTGCAAGTTCTGTTTTTGGTGTAGCTAGCGGTATCGAGTTTCTCGGTAAGGAAACAGGTCCGGGTGCTGATGTTAGCAAAGCATCGCGCGTCTAGTGAATGACGTCAGCATACCGCTTTAGTTACGCGATTAGGCGTAACGAGTCGTTTTAGTCACGCGAACAGTCGCGACCCTATAGTATGACGAATATGTCGTATAGCGCGCAACTAGCCGAACAAGTACTTTCCCTAGAGCTATAAATCCTTGTAATGCCTTTCCATTATTAAAAACCTTGACTTTACACAGAATTATGTGCTCAGGTTATTCAACCTTCTACTACCCACAAATTCATGTGCTCAGGTTCACTCCTATAAGACTTCCGCTGTCTTACTAGTCTACCATTCCAGAAAAGATCCTTGGTTAAGTACTTGTGGTTGCAGATTCTATATTTAGTCTACTGCACCACCTGCCAAATTATTACATGGTATGAGAGCTATCTGGAATTAAGACTACTGTCAACAATGACTGGTTCATCACCAGCACCGTCTGCCGGATCAACTTCCGGAACTAATGGAGTACATGTCTCCACGACCGCCACTGGTCTCTCTGCCTCTAGACCATTTCCACTGTCTTATGCGCATATTGGTATGCAGCAGCAGCAGCAGCAGAATCCGTCTTCTGCCAATACTCCAGGGATGTCATCAACTGCCCCTGCAGCACAACACCAACAAACACAGACAACAGTACAACAACAAGCATCAGTTCAACAACAGTCATCAGTATAGCAACAAGCAACAGCGCAACCACCGTTTTCAACGCAGTCAATATCATCGGCGTTCAGTGGAATGAGCCTTGATGGCTCGATTTATATGCGTGGAGCCACAGCTCCAAGTACTGGTTTGTTTGCTTTCTCACCTTTTGCACAACAGGCGCAGTCACAGCAGCAGCAACATCCCTTTTACATTTTCGGGCGTTCCCCTGCTCAGCAACAGCAACAACAACAACAACAGCATCAACAGCCACAGCAATATCAGCAGCAGCAACAGCATCAACAGCCACAGCAATATCAGCAGCAGCAACAGCATCAACAGCAACAGCAACAGCCTCAACAACCGGGTATTATTTTTCAACCACCAAATTTGCTTAACAGTACACAGATTAAAACCACCATGGAGTTTCGAGTTTGAGCTTCTAAGGCAGTCCGCTGGGCTATGGCCGTTCTTCACCGGCGAGTTTACTTATCCTGTTGTGGGAACACAACTGGAGCAGCAGAGTTTCTTGCATGCCTCTCTCGGGGCGTATACGGTTCTTGTTCGGAACTTATCGCCGAAGGAGCAGCTCGGCATCCGATCGTTTCATTCAAGCGTTACACGAGCTGAAACATCATGGAATCACTTGAAAGGGGTTTACATAGCAAAGATACAATAACAGTGAGCAAGATTCTTTTGCAGTTGACAAGTGTGCAGATAATGACAAATGAGAACGTCATAGATTACATCAACTGCGTCCGTACACTACGAGATCAATTGGAGAAAAGTGGGGGATACTTCCCTCGTGAGATGTCTCTCACGGTCCTTCTTGCTGGCCTTGGACCCGAATGGCGACAGACGCGCGCCTTCTTGCGCATGAACCCGAACCTCTCCGAAGCTGAAATTTTGTCGTATCTTTAAGCGGAACAGCAGGATCTTGATCTGCAAGCAGCACGCAACAAAATGGGGGATATACAACTTAGTTTCTATTCAACACCAACTCGACGTCCTCGACACTTTTGTCAAATTTGCAACAAGGGAGGACATTCTACCGACCGATGCTACTTTAACAAGAGGTATTTACCTCTTGAAGAATCGCAGAGGTCGCAATCATCACAGCAACTACGACAGCCTTCGAAGCAGTCTTTTCAGCAACATGCGCTTCCCAAGCAATATCTGCAATATCAACACCACCAACGACACTCAGTTCTGCCCCTCCAAGCAACTCATCAAAGCCGACAGCCAATAATTCAAACTCTGTCAACAATACAGTAACCTCAAAAATGTTCTTACCTACTTCATCCACTCACATGGCTGGTTACAGTTCAGATACGGATACTTGGTACTTGGATAGTTGTTGTGGCCATCATATGGTCTCTTCAACAAATCCTTTCATCTACAACCGGCGTCGACTTCTTCAACCCTACCCAATCACACTCGCCAACGGTCAAACAATTGCAGCAGAAAATATCGGCAGTCTACTTTTGACATCAATCGATACGGGAAATTCCTTACGCCTTACCAATGTTTTAATCGTCGACAATCTTGGCTTCAATTTAGTGTCAACTCTTCAACTCTTGGAAAAGAAAATCCGCACTGTCGGAAACTGCACTACACAAGAGCAAGAGTTAATACATGATGTGGACAACACGTACATCGGAAGAGCAGCAAAAAAAAAAAAATGGCGTATTCGTCTTACGATTCAAAGCAGAAAAATCTTTTGAAGATGCCCCTCCTCTTCAAGCTCCATCCATCATCGCAGCAGTCGCTTGGGTAACCGTTCCACCCATTGAACTCAGCAACAGCGAAGAAGAAAATCAGAGTCGCAGCACAACCGACATCCTTGCAGACACACCAACCGTTAATATCAAGGAAGATATTAGTCAAGAACACGAGGAAACACTGCAACTCGCTCCTGAAAAATTCTTCGTCGCTACAACTACTCTCGAGAAGACTTCCGATAATTCTTCAACTACCAGTCTTCAAGAGAAATGTTATGCACTCTCAAGGTTTTTACTACCTTCATATTTCATCTTCTTACTTCTTGCATGGCTGACTATAGCAGAAAGCGAGCTCGGTACCACGCTGCAAAATTCCCTATCCTACAGAGAAGCCGATCACCACACTATGAGTTCCAACGACTACGAGCAAGGCCTGGGCATCAACTGCTACCAAACCCCTCGTCATCGCGTTCAACAATGCAACGAAGCAGAAAGGTTGAACAGTATCCTACACGAGCTACGTGAGCAGCTGCGTGCACTGCTGACTTAACATATTTCCCTGCCCGAAACTTCACCATCAGATCTGCCCGTCACTTTATGGTTCGTTGTCAAGCCTCCGGATGATGTCGAGGCTCCTCTCCACCACGTGCAACACTCTCGTGGTTTTGCATTCATCCCCTTCGACCTTGCAACATTCATAGGCACCACCCCAACCACTTTCAACCCGACTCATTTTTACTCTGCCGAAGTGAGGGGGGAAGGAGGATCTAAAATCTACACGCACTTTGTCAAAGCCAAAATTCGTCATCAACAAGGGAAGAACGCGATAGGTCTACCATTTGACCAATCAAATGACCGCCGACTGCTTACAGCACATGAAGTTGACACGTCACAAGATTCCTAACTGCAGACTTCATTCGCCGAACTCCAACCACGACGTAACTACATCGAACTTCTAGGAATAAAGGGGAGTGTTGTAATAATTGAAGTTTTGCATTCCTGCAAGTTCCGTTTTTGGTGTAGCTAGCGGTATCGAGTTTCTCGGTAAGGAAACATGTCCGAGTGCTGATGTTAGCAAAGCATCGCGCGTCTAGTGAATGACGTCAGCATACTACTTCAGTTATGTGATTAGGCGTAACGAGTCGTTTCAGTCACGCGAACAGTCACGACCTTATAGTATGACGAATATGTTGTATTGTCAACTTATACATATTAGCTATGTAGAAGTTATAGGCTAGACTGGGGTATGCTTCTAGTGAGTTCAACCAACTAGTATTTGTTCCAGGTATCTCCTTCTAGTTCATCATTCAGTTCTTACTTTAACATGGTATCACGCGTAGGTTAGAATCCCCCACCTACCGCTTCCGCCCGTACCCTAGCTAACCCCGTCGCGCTCGCCTGGCCCCGTCGTGCCCCCTGGGCCTCGTCGCGCCTCCTAGCCCCGTCGCACCCCTCCTGGGCCCCGCCGCGCCTCCTAGCCCTGTCGCGCCCCTCCTGGGCCCCGTCGTGCCTCCTAGGCCCCGTCGCGCCTGCTAGGCCCCGTCGCGCCCTGCCTGGCCCCGTCGCGCCCGCCTGGCCCCGCCGTGCCCCTCCTGGGCCCCGTCGCGCCTCCTAGCCCCGTCGCGCCCCTCCTGGGCCCCGTCGTGCCTCCTAGGCCCCGTCGCGCCTGCTAGGCCCCGTCGCGCCCTGCCTGGCCCCGTCGCGCCCGCCTCGCCCCGTCGTGCCCCTCCTGGGCCCCGTCGCGCCCCTCCTGGGCCCCTTCGTCTCCTAACCCCGTCGCGCCTCCTAGCCCCGTCGCGCCCCTCCTGGGCCCCGTCGTGCCCCCTAGCCCCGTTGCGCCCCTCCTGGGCCCCGCCGCCCTCCTAGCCCCGTCGCGCCCCTCCTGGGCCCCGTCGTGCCTCCTTGGCCCCGTCGCGCCCGCTCCAGCCCCGTCGCGCCCTGCCTGGTCTCGTCGCGCCCGCTAGGCCCCGTCGTGCCCTGCCTGGCCCCGTCGCGCCCTGCCTGGCCCCGTCGCGCCCTGCCTGGCCCTGTCGTGCCCGCCTGGCCCCGTCGCGGCCTGCCAGGCCCCGTCGCGCCTGCCTGGCCCCGCCGCGACTCCCTGGCCCCGCCGCGCCTGCCTGGCCCCGCCGCGCCTGCCTGGCCCCGCCGCGCCTCCATGGCCCCGCCGCGCCTGCCTGGCCCCGCCGCGCCTGCCTTGCCCTGCCGCGCCTGCCTGGCCCCGCCGCGCCTGCCTGGCCCCGCCGCGCCTGCCTGGCCGCGCCGCGCCTGCCTGGCCCTGCTGCGCCTGCCTGGCCCCTCTGCGCCTGCCTGGCCGCCGCGCCTGCCTGGCCCCGCCTCGCCTGCCTGGCCCCACCGCGCCTCCCTGGCCTTGCCGCACCTGCCTCGCCCTGGCGCGCCTGCCTGGCCCCGCCGCGCCTCCCTGGCCCCGCCGCGCTTGCCGTGCCACCTCGAGCTCCGTCTCCTCTGCTCGCCAGCGCCGGGGCGCCTCGCGGCCGCCGTGCTGGAGAGTGCTGCCGCCGTGTCCCTGCGTCGGTGTGTCCCTGCGGAGCTGTGGAGCTGTGCCGCTGACCCTGCACGATGGCTGACTTTGTGCTCCGACTGGACGCCGAGGGCCATGCGGTTGACTTCGCCGCCTGGCTCTCCGATCTCCGCCGCCACCTTACAGGTCAGCGCCAGGATGGCCACTCTTTGGTTGTCCATGTCGATGGCTTGCTCCCCCGCCCCCCCGCACCTGCTCCCCTCCCTGCTGACCCCTCCTCTGATGACTGTGAGACCTTCTCTACTGCTGCGCTTGCCCGTGCGGTCTGGGACTTCCGCGATGCAGTCGCTCAGGTTGCTATTAGCCACGCCCTCCCTGTGTCTGAGCGCTCGCGTTTTGCTACTGTTGAGACGGCCAAAGCCTACTAAGACGCCGTTATTGCTCGCTATTCCACTCCCGCGTCTGCTTCTGCTGGCCGCTTGCTCTTCCCGATGCTGTTCCCAGACCTTGCAGCCTTCCCTACCGTCGCAGACTTTGCCACTCACCTGCGTGCACTAGAGACCCGCTATCGCACTGCCAGCACTGCTGCCCAGCTCACTGCGCTCCCCCCCCCCTTTTTGCATGACGCTCTATTTTATCGCCATGCGACTGCCAGACCGCCTCGCTAGTGCTCGCGATCACTTCCTTAGCCAGCACCCGGGTGACCTCACCCTCACCGCCTTTGTCGACACCCTTACCGAGATCGAGACTCGCCAACGCACTATTGCTGCGTCGAGCGGTGCGCCGGCAGTCTCCATCTTTCACGGCTGTGCCCCCTCCCAGTGCACGTTCACTGACGTTTCGGCTGCGGTCGCCACGGCGACCCCTCTCACCGAGACGCCTGCTGCGGTCCACCCGCAGCAGCGCTCGCGCCGCTGTGGCCGTGGTCGCCAGGGAGGTAGGGGTGGTGGCGCAGGTAGTGGTGGTCGTGGTGGTGGTGACGGTAGTCCGCCTGAGGGGACTACCACCGGTGGGGCAGGAGCAGCAGCCCCAGCCGTAGCAGGAGCAGCCCCAGCAGCAGCCGCCGTCCCAGTAGCAGCCGCCGTCCCAGCAGCAGTCGCTGCAGCCGTGGGCCCGTCTCCCGCCTGGTTGGCCCGGCACCTCCGGAGGTGGTGGCCGTGGTGGCGGCCCACGCAGCTCGGTGTCTACCGGCGGCTCCGGTGCTGTCACTTGCCAGTACCAGCTTCAGACCGGGCCTCTTCGCGGCACTCTGTGCCGCCGCCCGCACCCGACCGCCCGTTGTTTCCGCCGCCTCGACGATCTCTTTCGTCGTCGCTTTGGCCCTGCCCCGGACCTCCCCGACTGGCACAGCCTGCTCCGCCAGTGCGTGCCGATCTTTGAGTTAGACATGGATCAGATAGGTGCTGCTTTGCATGCTTTGTATGCTGATGCTTCTAGTGTTGATGGATCTTATTACCCTGTGTACTCTAGTTTAGGCATTGCACCGTTGTGTAGCTTAGCCTCCCCTGCTGCGTTAGGCGTAGGACTACCTAGTTTGCCTAGCCTAGTCTCTGCACCGGCTCCGTTCCCGGCCTCCGCCACAGCTTCGCTGTCCTTCACTCTCGACTCCGGTGCTTCTGCTTCTTCCGCGACCGTTCCGCGCTCACGCCGCTTGCTACGCCTGCTGTTGTCTCTCTCGCTGACCCCTCTGCGGGTCCTGTCGTTGCTCGCAGCTCCACGTCCCTTCCCTGTCCAGCAGTTCCCTCGGGCTCCCTTACAGGCCTCCACGTTCCCTCGTTCTCCAGGAACCTGGTTGGTGTCGGCTGTCTCCAGGACCTCGGCGTCACCACCACGTTCCCCGGGCACGAGCGGTTCGCTGTCTGTTCTGAGGCTGTCTCAGGTTCCCCCCTTGCGACGTTCCCCCGGGACCCGGTGTCCGGTCTGTTTACCCTCGACACCGCTTCCCCCCCGCTTGGTGCGTCCTCCCAGGTCGCTGCAGCTTGCTCGTGTCGGTCCCTCACTCACCCGTCCCTTCTCTTGCACCACCGCCTAGGTCACCCTGCTCTCCCACGTCTGCGTCACATGTCCCAGCACGGTCTTGTCTTAGGTCTCCCTGCGTCGCTCCCTGCCCTTCCTCCCTCGACTGCACCACCGTGCACGCCTTGCGTCGAGGGTCGGCTCCGCCGTGCTCCTCACTCCTCCTCGCTGCGCCCTGCTACTGCCCCTCTTCAAATCCTGCACCTGGACGTTTGGGGCCCTGCCCCCGTCCCCGGACTGCGAGGTGAGCGCTACTTCCTTGTGCTCGTCGACGACTACACGCGCTACACCACGGTGTTTCCCCTGGAGCGGAAGGCCGACGTGCCCGACGTTCTTCTCCCGTGGGTTGTGGCTGCGCGTCTTCACCGCGACCTCCCCGTGTTGTGTCTCCACTCCGACCATGGCGGTGAGTTCGCCTCTGGTCGGCTTGGACAGTTCTATCGTGAGGAGGGCATCACCCACTCGTACACCTTGCCGGACTCGCCACAGCAGAATGGGGTTGCTGAGCGTCGCATCGGCTTGGTCATGGAGGTCGCCCGTACCTCCATGATTCATGCCGATGCCCCCCATTTTCTGTGGCCGTTCGCTGTTCGCTACGCTGCTCACCAGCTTCACTTGTGGCCACACTCCCAGCGGCCGCAGGTTTCGCCGACCCTCCTTTGGACCGGGTCCCCGGGTGACGCGTCTGCGTTCCACGTCTGGGGCTGCCTTGCTCACGTTCGTGCCTCTGGCACGGACAAGCTTACTGCCCGCACTGTCCCCTGTGTCTTCCTCGGTTTCCCCCTGGACTCGTCTGACTGGCTTTTCTACCACCCGCCGTCTCACCGCATCCTCCACTCTCGTGACGTCACCTCTGACGAGTCTGTCTCCTTCTACCGCCGCTTCCCTCACCGCGGTCTCCCGGTTGCCCCGCCCCTGTTCCTTGCTCCCTCTCCCCCGGTAGCCCCTGCTCCTCTCCCGCCTCGCCCTGCCCCGTCTGGTGTCTCTCACGTCACTCCCCTCGTGTCGGTTGTCCCCGTTGAGGAGTCCGCTGACTCTGGTGGTACCCCCGGCCCGTCCTTGCCGTGTCCCCCTTTCTCGGTGTCTTCGCCTCCGCTGTCGCAGTCGCCGCCTCCGCCGCCGCCGTCGCCGCCGCTGCCGTCGCTGCTGCTGCCGCCGCCGCTGCCGTCGCCGTCGCTCTTGGCCCCTGGGGGTGCTGGTGTGGAGGAGGTGGTTCGTCCTGCGGCTCCTGGGGGTGCCGCCGGTGTTGGAGGGGGTTCTTGCTCTGGGGGTGTTGGTTCTGGGGGTGCTGCTCTTCAGGGTTCCGCCGACGGTCGTCCTGCCTCTGCCGGTCCGAGGGTTCCGGCCCAGCCGTCGCCGCCGGTCTCCGCTCTCCGCCTGCTCGGTCTTCCCTCCCCGGACCGCTCGCCGTTGTCTCCCCCACCGCCTGCTGACCTTCCTGTCTACGGTCCTATGTTCCCGCCACCAGACTCGTCTCCGGCCCGTCTTCCTCCTCGTTCCCCTCCTGTGTCCCCTCCGCTGTCCCGTGACCCTACACCTCCGTCCCACGTTTGGTCTCGCCGTCCCTCCCATTCTCGTCCCGTCTCTCCTGTCCTAGGCTCCCACCCTATGTTGCTCCGTTCCCACTCGTCTCGTCCTCCCCTCCTTCCGTCCCCTCCTCCCTCGTCCCTTGCTGTTGCACCTCCTCCGTTCTCTGACTACCTCCGTGCCGCTCGTCCCCTTGTCCCTTGGGTCCTTGCCTCTCTTGTTACCGAACCTTCTGTTCCTGTCTCGCGCCTTGACGCGCTTGTCGTTGCTGTCGCTGACTTTGCCTCTACTCGCCGCCTTAACTACGCCTCCGCTCTGGTCTCTGACCCTGCCCGTCCTCTGTCCGTCAGGGGTGCTCTTGCCCTTGGCAGTGACGTTCTAGAGGACAGGCAGTACGAGCTTGCTTTCCTTTCCGAGGCTGCTCCCCACCTCTGATCCATGCTGTTAGTCCCTGAGGGTGACCCAGACGCCTTCGACATCCCGACCCCTCGCACCTACGCTGAGGCGACCTCGGGACCTTGGGCCTCTTAGTGGATAGTTGCCATGGAGCAGGAGATGGCATCTTCGAGGTCCACCGGCATTTACGTCGACGCAGTTCCCCCGCCTGGGGTGAACGTAGTCGATAGTCGGTGGCTCTTCAAGGTGAAGCGCCCCCCTAGAGAGCCGCCTGTCTTCAAGGCGCGCTACGTGGCCAGAGGCTTCAGTCAGCGTGAGGGGGTTGACTTCTTCCAGACCTTCGTCCCGACCTCGAAGATGACCACTCTTCGGGCGCTGCTACACGTAGCAGCACAGCGCGACTACGAGCTTCAGTCCCTCGACTTCTCTACTGCCTTTCTTCAGGGCAGCCTACACGAGCAGGTCTACATGCGCCGACCACAGGGCTTCACTGGTAGCTTCCCCTCTGGGACCCAGTGGCTTCTCAGGCACCCAGTCTACGGCCTGCGTCAGGCTCCCCGCGAGTGGCACGACACGCTGCGTGCCACGTTAGCAGACCTGCAGTTCTTTCCGTCCTCTGTTGACCCCTCACTGTTTGTGCGTTCCGGCCAGACTCCGTTCTACATCCTTGTCTACGTAGACGACCTGGTCTTTGCTAGTGCTGACAGGGACGCACTGGCCTCTGTGAAGGCCGAGCTACTGAAGAGACACACCTGCACTGACCTAGGAGAGCTGCGTCACTATCTTGGCCTGCTGATCTCTAGGGACAGAGCAGCACGCACCATCACTCTGACAGTCACACTTGGTGCGTCAGGTCCTTTAGAGGTTCGGTCTTCAGTTCTCCTCTGCACAGCCCACACCTCTACCTGTAGACCATGGGATCTCCGCTCCCGTTCCTGAGGAGCCAGTAGAGCCCCGTGGCCCCTATGCAGAGCTGGTGGGTTGCCTCATGTACCTGATGACTTGCACTCGCCCAGATCTCGCATACCCTCTCAGCATCCTGGCTCGCTTTGTGGCTACAGGCAGACACCGACCTCAGCACTGGTCTGCTGCTAAGAGGGTTGTGCGTTATCTTGCAAGTACATCGGGCATGAGGTTAGTGCTAGGAGGACGCAGGCCAGTGGTCCTTACTGGGCACACAGACGCTTCTTGGGCAGAAGACTCTGAGACGCTCAGGTCGGCGCATTCCATTTGCGCCGAGCGGACCACACTGCCTTGAAAGCAGCAGGCTCATGGGCAGTAGGCTCATGGGCAGTAGCCTCATGCGCAGTAGGCTCATGCGCAGCCGGCTCACGCGCAGCCGGCTCATGCGCAGCCGGCTCATGCACTGTAGGCTCATGCGCACGCAGTAGGCTCATGCGCGCGCAGTAGGCTCATGCGCAGTAGGCACATGGGCACGGAATAGAAGACCAGGCATCTCAGTCACGTCATTATTATCCTTTGGTCGCTCGCCCTAAAAGGCCATTAACCTTGATTGCCTCTAGAATACTGCTCCCTCAACCTCAGGCACGCTACATGCCCTCTCTCACTCACGCTCACTGCAGACCATTCACCTATCTGGCTCACCCTCAGCGCAGGTGGGCCCGGCAGGAGCTCGAACTCTCGCTGGCGGCGCACCGACACGGAGGAAGAGGCCTCCGCCTGCACGAACGGAGAAAGAGGGATGTAGGGAGGGAGGGAGGGAGGGAGGGAGGGAGGGAGGGAGGGAGGGAGGGAGGGAGGGAGGGAGGGAGGGAGGTCTACATGCGCCGACCACAGGGCTTCACTGGTAGCTTCCCCTCTGGGACCCAGTGGCTTCTCAGGCACCCAGTCTACGGCCTGCGTCAGGCTCCCCGCGAGTGGCACGACACGCTGCGTGCCACGTTAGCAGACCTGCAGTTCTTTCCGTCCTCTGCTGACCCCTCACTGTTTGTGCGTTCCGGCCAGACTCCGTTCTACATCCTTGTCTACGTAGACGACCTGGTCTTTGCTAGTGCTGACAGGGACGCACTGGCCTCTGTGAAGGCCGAGCTACTGAAGAGACACACGTGCACTGACCTAGGAGAGCTGTGTCACTATCTTGGCCTATTGATCTCTAGGGACAGAGCAGCACGCACCATCACTCTGACAGTCACACTTGGTGCGTCAGGTCCTTTAGAGGTTCGGTCTTCAGTTCTCCTCTGCACAGCCCACACCTCTACCTGTAGACCATGGGCTCTCCGCTCCCGTTCCTGAGGAGCCAGTAGAGCCCCGTGGCCCCTATGCAGAGCTGGTGGGTTGCCTCATGTACCTGATGACTTGCACTCGCCCAGATCTCGCATACCCTCTCAGCATCCTGGCTCGCTTTGTGGCTACAGGCAGACACCGACCTCAGCACTGGTCTGCTGCTAAGAGGGTTGTGCGTTATCTTGCAAGTACATCGGGCATGGGGTTAGTGCTAGGAGGACGCAGGCCAGTGGTCCTTACTGGGCACACAGACGCTTCTTGGGCAGACGACTCTGAGACGCTCAGGTCGTCGCAGGGCTACTGTATCAGCCTTGGTTCGGGTGCTATCTCTTGGAGATCCACTCGCTCGTCGTCTGTGGCTCAGTCCAGCTGTGAGGCTGAGATCTACGCTGGTGCCATGGCGGCACAGGAGCTCCGCTGGCTGACCTTCTTGCTCACAGACTTGGGTGAGCGGCCTAGCTATGCCCCGGTCCTGTACGCTGACAACAGGGCCATGATACTCCTGTGTCAGGAGCCTCGGCTTGAGGGCAGAGCAAAGCATATCCAGCTGCGGTACTTCCTCCTGCGCGAGTTACAGCAGCGCCGCCAGGCCCGCGTAGTTTACTTGGCCTCAGGTGCCAACACAGCTGATATCTTTACTAAGGCGCTTGCGCCTAAAGATCATCAGCGGCGCTGTATACAGCTTGACCTTGTTCATGTAGTTACTCACTTGTTAGGATCCTGATTGTGTACTCTCTATTATATATACCTGTCAGACTGGCCTTGTGGCCTTACCTCCAGTGGCTAAACTAGTGGTGCCGCCCTGGCTTGCTTTAGTCTTGTTTGTACTCTTGCTGACTGGTCTCCAGACCCTTGCATCAGTGGTTGGACTAGTAGTGCCACCCTGAGCTGTTTGCTTCTTGCTTAGCTTCACCCCTTGTCTAGCCTAGGGGGTGTGTCAACTTATACATATTAGCTATGTAGAAGTTATAGGCTAGACTGGGGTATGCTTCTAGTGAGTTCAACCAACTAGTATTTGTTCTAGGTTTCTCCTTCTAGTTCATCATTCAGTTATTACTTTAACACGTATAGTGCGCAACTAGTCGAACAGGTACTTTCCCTAGAGCTATAAATCCTTGTAATGCCTTTCTATTATTAAAAACCTTGACTTTACACAGAATTATGTGCTCAAGTTATTCAACCTTCTACTACCCATAAATTCATGTGCTCAGGTTCACTCCTATAAGACTTCCGCTGTCTTACTAGTCTACCATTCCAGCAAAGATCCTTGGTTAAGTACTTGTGGTTGCAGATTCTATACTTAGTCTACTGCACCACCTTTCAAAATACTATAGCCCGTTGGGTAATCCTCTACTAAGGGGATTATTACTTCTACAGTCTTCCCCATAGCTGCTTCCCATACATCCTGCAAGAGGTCTTCATTTTGATGATCTTAACACGGCTGAATCAGTAGGCAAACACCGTGCGTATTTAAGGCACACTTGAGCAAACAGCATTCCAGATTGTCTCAACCGTTACGTTACGAGTCAGGTGCAGTACGAGGCCACCACAAACTTGGTAACATTCCACTAATACCAGACACTATGCATCTGGGAAGAGGCGCCTCAGTTGGTCCACATTTGTGGGATGGTGGGTGATTGGACAGCGACCGAACTGGTGGGACGGGAAGAGGTGGTGAGGGGATGCCGTAAGGGAGGAGGGAAATGCAAGAGGCCAGAGAGGAAATGGGGGAGAGGAGTGGGGAGGGAAGTGAGACAGGGGAGGGAAGCGAGAGAGGGGAGAAGGGAGGAGAAGGTGAAGCTGGAGATGGCAGGGGCAGTGGGGTTGGAACAAAGACACACACCTTATCACACGCGGCACCACAAATCTTATCCACATTAGCGCAGATGCAGGGGTGGCAGAAGATGAAGCGAGCGGTGGGTCCCTTGGACAGAAGCAATCTGACCAGAGCAAGCCCTTTCAACAACACACCACAGCTTACCTTATCCACATACGCGAAGATGCAGGGGTAGCAGAAAATGAAGCCGGAGGTGGCAGGGGCAGTTGGGCAAAATACACTGACATTCTCAACACAAGCCACCCCACCGTTACGCACCTTATCAGCATATCCACACACCTTGTCCACATAGGCAAAGATGCAGGGGTAGCAGAATATGAAGCCGGAGGTGGCAGGGGCGGTGGGGTTGGTGCGACGGCACAGGCAGAGAGGACACAAGGAGCGGTCAGCCGGCACAGGGATGCCTGCAGGGGCCACCTGGAGACGTGAGGGAGACGGGAAAGGGGGTCCAGAGTAGCGAGCAGAGGCAGAGCAGACATAAGGAGCGATCAGCAGAAACATGAATGCCTACAGAGGCCACCTGGAGACGTGAGGGAGACGGGAAAGGGGGTCCAGAGTAGCGAGCAGAGGCAGAGCGAACATAAGGAGCGATCAGCAGAAACATGAATGCCTACAGAGGCCACCTGGAGACGTGAGGGAGACGGGAAAGGGGGTCCAGAGTAGCGAGCAGAGGCAGAGCGGACATAAGGAGGGATCAGCAGAAACATGAATGCCTACAGAGGCCACCTGGAGACGTGAGGGAGACGGGAAAGGGGGTCCAGAGTAGCGAGCAGAGGCAGAGCAGACATAAGGAGCGATCAGCAGAAACATGAATGCCTACAGAGACCACCTGGAGACGTGAGGGAGATGGGAAAGGGGATCCAGAGTAGCGAGCAGAGGCAGAGCGGACATAAGGAGCGATCAGCAGAAACATGAATGCCTACAGAGGCCACCTGGAGATGTGAGGGGTGGGCGAAAGGACAGGGAGTTCAGAGAGACTGGCAGAGGCAGAGCGGCCACAGGCTGTGGTCAGCAGGAGCAGGGATGCCTTCAGGGGCAATCTGGCAGGACTGACTGAGGAGGTGTGGGGGAAGGACGGGGGAGACAGGCATGGGCAGTGAGGTGGGTGAGGCAACGGGCAAACAGGCAGAAAATGGTGCCAGTTCAACCAGAAGCAGAAGATAAGCCAAACCAGAGCAACAGAGCAGATGGGAGCAAGAGGACAGCAAGTCAGAGGAAGGTGTGGGGGGGCAGGGAAAGGGAGTGTTGCTGTGGTGGTGTAAGCATTGGTGAAAGCTCCGTGTGTGCGAGAGATGGTGATCTTGCCTTGGGTGGTGGTGGCGGCGGTGGTGGCGGGTAGACGGTTGGCGCGCTGAGCTTCTGCTCGCCCGTTTGAAACCACCACTCGGCCATCTGAAGAGGCACGGATGACAGGGGTCAGTAGTACATGCGATAGATGAAGGGAGGTAGGCAGAGCAGTGGAGAGGCAATGCATAGCTGCACGATCCACCGAGCTTCTGCTCGCCCGTTTGAAACCACCATGCACGGTGAATGCGCGAGAGGAGAATGGGATGGCAGGGATAGACGCATTTCACGGCAGGAGAAGCAGGCTAGAAGAAATGGAAGCAGAGGGGAAGGAAGAAAGTCTGCGAGGCGTACCTTGAAGGCGAAGACAGCAGCGATGACGGACGTTTGGGCATAGTCCATGGCGAAATACAGGGCTTTAAGGAGCGCTGCTTGCATGGCCTGCACAGTTGTTGGGGATGGTTGGAATCGGGGGCATGGGGGTATGCAATGAGAGCGAAGACAACAGCAGTACTGGCAGGTGTACAAGCCATGGTGGCTGGCATAGCCCATGGTGACATTGAGGGCTTTAAGGACTGCTGCTCGCATGGCCTACACAGGGAAATGAGAAAGGATGAAGAAGGATGAGGCGCAGGAGGGTCATCGAACGAAGAGGACGCATTCCATTTGCGCCGAGCGGACCACACTGCCTTGAAAGCAGCAGGCTCATGGGCAGTAGGCTCATGGGCAGTAGCCTCATGCGCAGTAGGCTCATGCGCAGCCGGCTCATGCGCAGCCGGCTCATGCACTGTAGGCTCATGCGCACGCAGTAGGCTCATGCGCGCGCAGTAGGCTCATGCGCAGTAGGCACATGGGCACGGAATAGAAGACCAGGCATCTCAGTCACGTCATTATTAACCTTTGGTCGCTCGCCCTAAAAGGCCATTAACCTTGATTGCCTCTAGAATACTGCTCCCTCAACCTCAGGCACGCTACATGCCCTCTCTCACTCACGCTCACTGCAGACCATTCACCTATCTGGCTCACCCTCAGCGCAGGTGGGCCCGGCAGGAGCTCGAACTCTCGCTGGCGGCGCACCGACACGGAGGAAGAGGCCTCCGCCTGCACGCATGGAGAAAGAGGGAGGTAGGTAGGTAGGGAGGGAGGGAGGGAGGGAGGGAGGGAGGGAGGGAGGGAGGGAGGGAGGGAGGGAGGGAGGGAGGGATGTTTTGTTGAAGTGCCTCAGGGGTTGACGGGCAGGCAAAGAGGAAGAGGCCTTGGCCTGTATTAGTAGGGAGGGGAGCAATAGAGGAGAGGAAAACTGGAGTACAAAGTCGAAAGTTGACGACTAAGAGAAGGATGCGCCATTATAGTGGTATTCGTGGGAGGGAGAAAAGGGGTGATGCACATAAATTACACACAAAACACATAGATCTGCATACTCTCCGACTCCCTGCATACTGCATGCGAGCAGCACAACGATACATGTTCACAAACGAAGGGAGTCTAGTTTTGAGGCGCCTCAAAACTAAACGAGCAGCACAACGATACATATTCACAAACGAAGGGTGCGACAACACGGCCAAGCTGCAGACTCACCAGCTCTTGCGGCGTGGCTCGGCGCAGTGAGAGCGAGAGGAGGTGCAGAATGGGCGAGTAGTACGGCGTGGCGTCCATCACATAGAGCAGCTGGTACAGCAGATTCAGGCCTGGGGGGGAAGCGGGGGTGGACCGTAGAGCAGCAAGACACAGAGCACTTCAGCCTTGAGAACGGAACCATGGCGGGGCAGAAGTAAAGCGTGGCGTCCGCCCATGACATAGAGCAGCTGGTACAGCAGGTTCAGGCCTGGGGAAAGTAGAGAAGGAGGACACACACACACAGACGTCTTGGGGAGAACACCACTGAAGAACAGGCAGGTCGAGATGCGCCCCGGACATAGCCCCGTAGACAGAGAGCAAAGGCCCTCACAATACCTTTATATCACCCTCATATAACCGTCAAATCAACATCGTCAGAACACCCCCATCCCATATCACCTTCATTTTCACCTGCACTACAATCATCTTCACCATAATCACCTTCATACGGCGCCTGCAGCCAGGGGTAAGCAGCAGCCGCCCCTTGCACAACCCTTCGCTGCACGGACCGCAGCAATCGCAGCACCTGCCGCCACCTCCTACTGCTGCTCCCCCCACCATGCCTGCTTACCACACTGCCCCTGGCAGCAGCACCTCCTGTCACCACCCAACCTCCCTGCCCGCCTGTCTGCCCCTCTCCTCCAACCCCCCGCGCCTCATGCCCTTCTGCCCCCCCTCCTTCTGCCCCCCTCCTCCTACCGCCCTCCCCTCCTCTGAAGCTATTCCTTCACCAGTCTCCCCCCTACTGAGCCCATCACCCCTAAATCCACCACCCCTCATCCCGTCACCCACGGAACCAGCCGAATCCAAGCTGCTAGGACTGATGTCACTGTTGCCACGCCCCACACCACCACTGACCCCACCATACTCATCCATGTGCCCATCCGCTTGCCCAGGATCCGCATCCTCACCCGCCCTGCTCATGCCCCACCCCCCCTCCCCCGTCTCACCCCACCCCTCGTCTCCCCCCTCCTCCTCCCCCACCCAGAGCGCCCGTGCTTGTCTCTGCCTTTGCCGCGCAGCAAACAGGGTGTGCAGCTTCGTGCGGATGTAGGGCAGAAGCACCTGACATGCCACAAGGGGATGGCGAAGAAACAGTCAGTGCTGACAGTTGAATCCACCTGCACAGCTCCAGCCTTCCTCTGCCTGTCTCTGGCGCACAGCAAACAGGGTGTGAAACTTGGTGCGAAGGTAGGGCAGGAACACCTGGGGTGCAATCAACAGGTATAGGGTGTCACAGGAAGTGTTGAAATATGACCTCCAGTGACCCCCCCTACCGGCCCTTCCCAAACCACAGCGCCCCTGCTTGTCTCTGCTCGTGTTTTAACCCGTGCTTCCCTCTGCCACTGGCACTCGGAAAACAGGGTGCAAAGTTTGGTGGGCAGCAGGCAGGCAAGGAGCACCTGGCGTGTAGCTATGGGTGTGAGGTGTAACAGACCAGACAGTGTCGAGGTACGAAACGGAACAAGGCGTGACACAGAGCGTCACATGCATGTGGATACACCCAAAACCCTAACCCTGAATTCAAACAGACCAGAAAGGGAAGAAAGGGAGACTGCTGCTTGGGACACATGCCATGTGGCGACGCCCCCTTCTCCGCCTCTTATGGCACCCCTACCTGCATCCCTGACCCTTGACCCTGCTCCCTCAACCCTGCAACTGACCAGAAAGAGCAGGGAAAGCGCTCGTTGCTTGCCAGACATGCCCTGTGATACAGCCCCCCCTCCTGCCCCCCTGCCGCCCCCTCTCCTCTGCCTGCCCCCTCCGCACCTCCTGCTGCACCCCTTGCTGCTCCCCCTGCTCTCGCTGCTGCTTGGCTCGGAGGAGGGCGACGGGGAACGGTGGAGATGCGGCGAAGGCCGTACATGGACTCGCCGAACGACGCTCCTGATGGGCATGGGGAAGCGGTGTACAAACACGATGAGAATCGACAAGTGGTGATGGGAGGGTGCGGTGCGGAAGGGTAGTGAGGAGGGAGGGGACGGTGGAGATGGAACGAACGCCAAACATGGACTCGCAAAATGACGCGCCTGGGGGGGATGTGGAAACGTGGAGAGATGGTGAGGTAGGGGGGAGTGAGGTAGGGGGGAGTGAGGTAGGGGGGAGTGAGGTAGGGGGCGTGAGGAAGGGGGACGAGGAAGGAAGGAAAGGGGGGAATCGGCAGATGACACCTGGGAATCGGCAGATGACACCTGGGAATCGGCAGATGACACATGGGAGAAGATGGTAGAGACACGGCGAGGTGACTTTTGAGTCGACTCAACAGTAACCTGGGAATCGGCAGCTGACATGGGACACGGGAGGAGACATGGTAGAGACATGGGAGAAAAAGGTAGAGACACGGCGAAGGCCATGCATGGACTCACCGAATGAGGCTTCTGATGGGCATGGGGAAGCAGTGGAGAGGTGGGCATGGGGAAGCAGTGGAGAGGTGGGCATGGGGAAGCAGTGGAGAGGTGGGCATGGGGATGCAGTGGAGAGGTGGGCATGGGGAAGCAGTGGAGAGGTGGGCATGGGGAAGCAGTGGAGAGGTGGGCATGGGGAAGCAGTGGAGAGGTGGGCATGGGGAAGGGAGGAGGGGCCAACAGTGGACATGCGGCGAAGGCCGTACATGGACTTACCGAATGCACTGTACCCAGCACACAACAAGAGCTAATAACGCGTAGTTAGTGTACCATGTGTCTTTAACGAGTGCCACTCGAGCAGCAGCAGCGCAGCAGCGGTGAGCTCGTCGCTGTAGTCCAGCACGCGGTGCAGCGACGGGCGGTGCTGCGCCAGCACCCCTAGCGCGTATAACGCGGCGGCCTTTAGCGAGGCGGGGAGGTAGTCGGCGGCCGCCATCTCGAAGAACGTCGGCCGGCTGCCCTCCGCGCCCGCCGCGTGGAACAACATCGTTCGCGGTAAGGACTGGGGCCCGGAACGATATATTGACAATTCTAAAAAATGACAGGGGTGTGGGACAATCCTCGGCAAGAACTGGGGCCTGGCACGAGACGAGCTCCGTCAAATGGGAAGCCGGAAACTAGGAGTGATAGGGCACGGCGAATCTAGGAGCAGCCGAAAATGGTGTCGACGCGATGGTTGGCCCGCGCGTGGGCCGACGAGGTACGGGTGCTATGTACAACCGACAACCGACAATCTTGGCTTGGTACGCGTGTAAATGTGTCCGCCGCAATCTGCGCTAGAAGGTACTGCTGCTAACGTGGAATGGGCATTTACTAAGCGTCCTTATTAGTGTCATTCGGTGTCATGAATGTTGTTCAAATTTTAGTGCACAACAAAATGCAGCCGTTTCATCTTTCAGTGCGGTACAGCGTGGTTCTGCGCTATATCGGGACGCATTTACACCACCCCATGCAATAGCCAACCTCCATACAGAAATTCGAATCTCGGGAGTGGAATACGTGCAGCAGAACGAGTTCCTCTGGTCATGGCTTTGAGACGTCATGGGGAGTTCTACTGACCAAGTATAAACCGCGGCCGGATTTCGCGACGACTTAGGGATGATGGTTGGCTTATAACGGCGTCGTGCCTCAGTCGCCCTATGAAACCGACGAACGGAAAGCTCCACGAACCATCGCATGTAATCCCACTCAATCGCGATCCGTCCAAGGCGCGATTCTCGGGGTCTCTTTTCTTCGCCATGGCCCCGCGGCTCGCGCTTTTTCTCGTGCTCCTCTCCCTCCTCCACGTCGCGCTCCCCCATCCCATCCCCGCGCCTTCCGCGCCATGCGCCGCGCGGGTGGTTGCGCGGAGCCTCGAGGGTCGCGGGGCGCACCGCCTGCTGCGGACGTCGCTCCACGTGGCTTGCCGCGCCGGCCCGTTCCGTCCACGTCAGGCGGGCGATGCACACGTGGCGTGCGGAGAACCGCACGGTAGAGTGGGTCGCTGCGACTCGGGTGGGGTTGCAGGGGTGATGGGAGGAGAGGGAGAGGAGGGAGGAGAGAAGGAGCGGAAGACGGGTGGGTGCAGAGCGGTGCCAGAGCAGCAAGGCCAGCTCAGAAGCTGCAGTGCGGGTGAAATTTTGGGAAGCGGTGGGCCGGCAGGGGGGACACGTGTCACGATACGAGTGGAGCAGCCGGTACCTCGTGGGCTGTATGCTGATCCGTTTGAACTGGAGAGAGTTGAACGATCAGGTGAGGCGGGGGGTTGAACAGGGGGTGAGGGGGGGGAGAGAGCAGGAGGGTGAAGAGCACTCATTACCAATACCTCACACCAGGTGTGCTGCACTTCGTGGCGCTCCAGGGGGGCACTGATGCGGTGCCTGCTGGTGCTGATACTGGCCAACTCCTCTCTTTCTCCCCACCCCTCCCTCCGCCATCTCTCCCTCCCTCCCCGCCTCCTCTCTTCCCCCCCTTGCTCCCCTCCCTTCCTCCTCCTCCCCCTGCCTTTCCGAGCCAGCCAGCGACCGAGCCTGGGTGGTAGGTCCGGTGGAGCTGGAGCAGCCTGCGCCTCGGTGCGAACCAACGGTGGTGGCGATGGAGAGAGACGTGGGTGTGGCGTTGGGGACGGGCACAGGGGATGTGAAGGTGGGGGTGGACAGTCGGCAGCATGGGAGGGAAGGAAGCAGGGGGGAGGAAGCTGGAGAAGACGACGTTTCTTTTTCCGTGGAGTTCACTCTGCCACTGCACTCCCGATACCCGGTAACCACACTTTTCTCTGTACTCCTCCACTACTGCGCCCTTTAACATGTGATTAGGTACTCTGTATTCTGTACTCTCTTGTTATCACGTCTTGTCTTGTTAACCCCCTTTCTTGTCATTAATTTGTTGCATTCTTCTCAACTCCCTCTCCGCCTTTGTTGTGCGTCTGCTTTGTGAATCCCTCACGAGCAACTGCATTCCAGCGTCTTGAGGCGCTTCGCGTGCTTGTGAGGCATTTTTTAGAATTAAAAAAAAAAATCCCAGTGTTTTGAGGCGCTTCACGGTCTCAGACAGTAAACTCATGTAGTAGGGCTCTTTGAAAATCCTTTTTTCCCCTACCTTTCCAAATCGTCTTATTCCCCTTACTGCTCTTTTCCTTTCCTACCCTTTGTGTTTCCCTGCCAGGCTGTGCTGCCAGCTCTCTTCCCACCACTCTCCCCTCAATCCCTCCTCCTCTCCGCCTCTCACTCCCTCCTCGCCCTCACCTCCCTCTCTTGGAACTTACAACAGCTTAAAGCGGCCTTTCACTGGAGCTACTCCTCCCTCTCTGCTCTTCCACGTGCCGTCACTGGCAGCTGCAACCAATCGTATGCGGCGGTTTTCGTGCCCTTTCCCTCTGCATGCGTCGTGCTCCCTCCTCCCGCAATCTGCACATCATCACTATCATCACTATCATCACTATCACCACCAGCATCACCAGCATCACCCGCATCACCGGCATCACCATCTAATTCCGTTTCTATACCCTACTGTGAGTGCCTTCCCATACCCCTCAACTGGTCATTACGGAACAAAGCTGCACAAGAAGAATTGGCAGAGTCAGCAGCAGAGGCGGCAGCGGCGGCAGCAGCAGCAGATCAGAGTGGAGAGTCGAAAGCAGCTGGACAGAAACCAGCGGCAGCAGCAGCAGCAGCAGTAGCAGGAACGGGAGTTGGACATGGGGATGAGGGGGCAGCACTGCTATGGGAGGTACCTGCAGGCTGTGCTGCGCACACGGCTCTTGTGCTCTGGGGCACGTCCCTTGCTGCTGCGGTGGGGGCTCTGGTGCTGGTGATGGTGGCTGCTGGTACTCCGGTGCACACAGGGGGAATGAATTGGGAGAGGTGAGAGACCAAGCAGCAGGCTGGGGTGCGCACACTCCTCTTGTGCTTTGGGGCACGGTCCTGGCTGCTGACGTGCGCACACGCCTCTTGTGTTTTGGGGCACGTCCCTGGCTGCTGAGGTGCGCACACGCCTCTTGTGCTTTGGGGCACGCCTCTGCGCCCTTTGGTGCTAGTTGCGGATGCTGCTGCCACTTCAGTGCCTGTAGGAGTGAGAAGGGAGAGGTGAGAGAGCAAGCAGTTCGGCCATCCTGCTTTGGGGCACGCTGCACTTCCCTTGCTGCTGTGGTGGGGGCACTGGTGCTATTGCTGTGACCGTTTTGCTACTCCAGTGCGCACAAGAGACGCAAAGAGGGGGTGAGGAATGAGGGCGGGTGAATGTAGGTTGGAACAGCAGGCAGTGTGGGCGGGCGGAGATTGGCCGGAGATCTCAGCAGCAGCACACATCTCAAATGATTTCTTTTGGAAGTGAAAGTTTTGAATGGGTAATAAAACCACTGAACCATTTGTATTTGATTATGTACAGATTACACCAGCTGGAAGAGTATTCTACAGAAGGAAGTCCCCCCAGACCACAGCTTCACAGTTTCAGCATCCCTTCACATGTCCATGCCTTCCAACTGCAGAACCCATCAGAATTTTAGGCGCCTCAAAGCAGCCCCTGGTTTCAGCGCCCCTTGCTTGTATCCACTCCCTTGGACCGCAGGGCCTCGTCGCCGCTCTTCTCCATCGTAAACTGCCCTCGTGTTAAATTATATATTGTGTTATATAATTGTTAGGCTTGGTAGGTTACCGAACTATATTGTAGAGGGTACAATCCCCTCCTTGTATCCCTCTCTCTTTCTAGTTCACCCTCTTTTCTCTCGTCAAACTTGGTCCCCTAGCTCTCGACCTTCAAACCCCTCGCCATTTCATGGCTGCCCTACCATCCTAGCTAACCTAGTTTCGTAACACCTTGCTCCTCCCTGGCCAAACCACGGCACACATGGCAGACATGGTAGCTTTGCCGTGTCAAAACACAGGCTGTGCAGGAAGCGTGTCACCTATACACAATTCTTGACGCATTTTTAAATAGCAGACAAAGAAGCTTGTGCAATAGTGCAGCTGCCAGAGGCGACACTACGGCCCTGTCGATGTAGGCTGTGCAAACAACACGCCAACTCCCTAATGATAGCCTAGGTGTTAGAATAACGTAATGATTAGAAGGAAGAGGGAACAAGGGAGATATAGGGTTTGGTTTGTACTCTCTAAGAACACACACCTATTCTAGCCTATAACTTCTACATGCAAATGTATGTATAAGTTGACACACCCCTTATGCCAGATAAGGGGTAGTGCTGAGCAAGAAGCACATAGCTAAGGGTGGCACTACTAGTCCAACCTCTGAGACAGGGGTCCGAAGACCAGTCAGCAAGAGTACAAACAAGACAAGAGCAAACCAGGGCGGCACTACTAGTCCAGCCACTGGAAGAGAAGCCACAAGGCCAATCTAAAAGATATATATAAAGAGGAGTACACTATCAAGATCCTAGCAAGTGAGAGTCTACAGGAACTAGACCAAGCTGCAAACACGGCCACTGATGATCTTTAAGCGCAAGCGCCTTAGTAAAGATAACAGCTGTGTTGGCACCGGAGGCCAAGTGTACTATGCGCGCCTGGCGGCGCTGCTGTAGCTCGCGCAGGAGGAAGTGCCGTAGCTGGATGTGCTTCGCTCTGCCCTCAAGTCGAGGCTCCTGACACAGGAGGATCATGGCCTTGTTGTCAGTGTACAAGACCGGGGCAGAACTAGGCCGCTCACCTAAGTCAGTGAGCAAGAACGTCAGCCAGCGGAGCTCCTGTGCCGCCATGGCAGCCGCGTAGATCTCAGCCTCACAGCTAGACTGGGCAACAGACGATGAGTGAGTGGACCTCCACGAGATGGCAGCCGAACCAAGGCTAAAGCAGTAGCCCTGGGAGGACCTGAGGGTCTCAGCGTTGTCTGCCCAAGAAGCGCCTATGTGTCCAGTAAGGACCACTGGTCTTCGTCCTCCCAGCACTAACCCCATGCCCGATGTACTTGCTAGATAACGCAAAACCCTCTTAGCGGCCGACCAATGCTGTGGTCGGTGTCTGCCTGTGGCCACAAAGCGTGCCAGGATGCCGAGAGGGTATGCAAGATCTAGACGAGTGCAAGTCATCAGGTACATGAGGCAACCCACTAGCTCTGCGTAAGGACCACTGGGCTCTACTGACTCCTCAGGAACTGGAGCAAAGAGCCTGTGATCTTCTGGCAGAGGTGTGGGCTGTGCGAAGGAGAAATGAAGACCGAACCTCTGAAGGACTTGGCGCACCAAGTGTGAATGTGTGAGGGTGATGGTGCGCGCTACTCTGTCCCTGGAGATCTGCAAGCCAAGGTAGCGGCGCAACTCTCCTAGGTCAGTGCATGTGTGTCTCCTCAGCAGCTCGGCCTTCACGGAGGCCAGCGCGTCTCTGTCTGCAGTAGCAAAGACCACGTCGTCT